TTCAGGGCCCAGTCAGTTTCCAGAATATTCCAAGAGATTTGGTGCCTAGCCATTCAACATCTCAGAACGGTTCGAGACAGGTTGCGCCGCGTCGTTCGCGGTTTCTGGAACGGTTCGGAACGGTTTGGAACGGTTCGGAACGGTTTCGGCAGAGTATTTCTCAATTCTCGTTATAGGTCCTAAGATGTCCATAATAGGTCCTGAGATTTCCATGATAGGTCCTGAGATTTCCATAATAGTTTCCAAGACCCTTGGGCATCCAACAGACAAATACAGCATAAATTCTTTTAAGTAAGTGTTGATAAGGTTTCTTAGGTATCGGTAAGCGAACGTATTGGGTGTCCAGCTCGGTAGGCCTATAAAAAACATGGTTGCTTGGGCAGCTTTATGCAGGAGATCGCGCAGCTTCGCGAACGCCTGGATGCAGCTGAAAGCTTGGTGAAGACCCTTGATAACGAGGGTAGACGCACAAGAGCAACACAGCCTCGCAAAACATGTGGAGACAATTCGGTCAGCGAAGCAGGCAAGGAGCTGCAAGGCAAAGTGACGCTGAAAGTAGGTTCGCAAAAGTTCCATACATCTGCGGAGACACTGAAAATCTTCCCAGAGTCATGGTTTGCTCTCCTGGCTTCTGGTCGTGTTCCACAAAAGGTGGAGGAAGATGGGAGCATTTTTGTCGATGCCAGCAGCAAGACTTTTCCGCACGTGCTGGAGTATCTCAGGTGTGGGGGCAAGAGCTTTACTATAAATGGTATACCTCCGGCAGCACGAGATGAGCTTCTTCGCCAGGCACAGTATTTCATGCTCGATGGATTGGAGAGAATGCTGCGAGGCGTCCATGTATATGCCTCGCATGACATGACCCTTGAGGACCATGGTGCGTTGTTGCAAGGCAGAAAGCATTCGGCTGCCACATTAGATGTTCCAGATCCAAACAACTTTCAAATCAGCTTGTCTTTCAAGAATGGCAAGGCTTACAGCCCAAGTACGTCTGTATTGATAGGGGTTGCCCCAATCGATGCGTTGCTGGATTGCACCTGGGAGAGTAGACACATTGGTCCACGGAAGCTGACTGTGCCACCGGTCGCTGATGCAGGGCTGTTTGTACGCGTTGCGTCCGAATCTCTGGAAGTGTTGAATACTTCTGCACAGTATGATGTCAGGCACTACAGGTATCAATTGTCCTCAGGAAGCCGAGTGGAAACTGTTAAAGTCTGCTTCGAAAGAACCACCGAGATTTGCAAAATTGCTTTTCGTGTGATGTATTATGCCGCAGAGCCATGCAAGTGGAACACGCTGCAAAGCACTCTTACGACCAGGTCATGGGATGTGACAACAGCAGATTTCGGGCTCACATCGCAGGCCGATTACAGGCCTGTACTTTTCTTCGACGAGCCAGGTTGGCTGAAGATCGAGAAAGCTTGAGCCGTTGTCAAGTGCCGTTGCTGGTCAATGAAAGTTGTCCGCATGCTGCAAGCACCAGACGTGATGAAGAGGTCAACGCACGAAGCAGGGAAAAAGTTTAGGGTCATGATCTGGTTCTTGGTCAGATTCGGAGTCGTAGGACCTTGAATGGACCCCGGGCAAGCAGCAAGGCTCTCAGACACCCGAATCAAGGCCCAAAGGTGGATTGGATTCCCTGATTCCCTCCTGCCCCTTAGCATTTCCAACGTGGGCTCTTGGAAAAGGTTTCTTGTGCTGCCAACCGCCCCCCAATAGATCCCAGCTGATAATTGCCAGTCTTTATGTGGCAGTCGTCGTGGAATCGTGCAACGAAAGCACCAATGCTCGCCTCATGACTGCAATTTCGGTCCAGCAAGTTTGGGCGTTTCTGTCAGCATGGTCCCGAACTCTATGGCTTTCTCTGGAGGGCAGCAAACCCAGTTGTGCGCCGAGGGCGGCAGCTCGAGCACGTCAGGAAGTGCCACAAGCGGCTTGCGTGTCAGGCAGTCCTGAACAAAAGGGATGGTGGGTTCTTGCGAGTCAGCCCAGAAAACCGTTCTGGGTTGGCATGTTTTCTACTCATACTGGAAGCAGGCTTGTCAGAGCTCCTTCATCAAATACATTTCTACTACAGGTACCAGTGGGGCAGCAAGCCCTCCAACCCCTCAATCCTACTCTCAGGAGAACGGTGAATTTCAAGGACTTGGTCTTAGCTGGAGGTCTCAAAATCGTAATCGTTTCGCAGTGCCCAGGCCTTTGAAAGTGGGAGTGCGATTGCGGCAGGTATTATTATAGATTTCTGCAATGAATTCTGGTGATTCGTTCTGTCATGCAGTGCCCAGTGCCAGCGGGATCAGCCTAATCAGTAAGAAGCACTACTACCACCAACAACTTTAACGAGTTGTATGCGCCCTGCCCAGTTGGCCGCTGAGCGCCAACGTCAGTGTATCGAGTCTGCTTGGCGCATCTTCTGTGGTCTCAGGTCTTACCGCAAGGCAACTTTCGGGCTGCCACGGGTTGCTACAAAGCTAACCTGCCTTAAGCTGGTCACTTCTAGCCGCCTGTGCCGGAAAGATGGGTCCCCTGTAAGTGCGGCTGTCTCACAACCCAATGATCTGCAGGGAGCATGTCATTTATAAGGGAATGGTCACATCCACCTTCACCAATTCCGCCAGGCGCGCAGAGCACAAGCTTTTCTGGACCCGGAGTACGTGGCCTCGCGTAGAGCATTGTATTCTGCAATGCCAACATCCGTGGACAGTTGGCTGCTGCAGGAGGCCGCATGCAAGAGCAGTGCAGGGGAAGCAAAGAAGAGCCTCTCCTTGGCCTCATGGTCTGGCTTCAGGGCTTCCAATGCAAGTTCCATAGTCTGTACCATAGCTACTCGAAACCTCTGCAAGAGAGAGCCGTAATTCGATTTAGTTCTCAAAACCCTAGACTCCCTGTAGAACCCCTAGATAATCCCTATAATCCCTGTAGTTACAATTTTTCCCGTTATCCCAATATAACCAAGAGCACTCCCCATGCTCCACCGCAGGTACTCCATGCCTTCCGCTTGGAGGCACAGAAGAGCAAAGCACAACATCGGGAGGTGGGAATTGATCAATTTGGGGAGTGGGGGGATCAGGCTTCAGGTAATATTGGGATACTATAGGGTAATATAGGTTATATAGGGATAATGGAGAAGAAAATGCAAACTACTACAATTAATGGGGTTATCTTGGGGTTATATAGGGATGATGGGTTTGATAATGGAAACAACTATTTTGTCGGGATGCTATCCCCCATACAAGCCTTTCACGTGGATCCCTATCATCTCCATGTACTCCCCATGTATCCCTATGTAACCTTTAAGATCCTTCTATATCCCTATATGACCCTACATAGATCTACGTAACCGTATCAAGTCCCTTGGATCCCTAAGGGTGCTTTAGAAACAGCCAGGTTGCTCTGCGGATGCAGGGGAAAACTTTGGTCCAACTCACAGCGGAGAAGCTCCTACGGATTCTGGGCTGGCATTCTGCGAAACTCCCAGGAGCATCTAGAAACCTAGATCCCCTTATCCTGTATGTATGGGTATATAGGTTTAGGGTGTATATACGGCTTAGGGCGCCTTAGGGGCTTCCTAGAAGTTACGCTAGAGTAGTTCAGTTAGCATATTTGGCCTCTACTTTTCAGATCCTCCCCGGAGTCTTGGATGGGACTGCGAGTCATCTGGACCCCAGATGGGGTAGTCCAAAGGATGAACATGTGAAATCTCATTGGGGTAATATTGGGGTTATATTTAGGTGATATTGGTGTTATATTGGGATAATGGAAAATAAGATGGAAACTGCAATGTAGGGTTCTAATCTGCTTTGCTGTGGCGGCGCCAGTGAAATCTTCTTCGCAATGACGAGCTCAAGGGTCGCAGCATGGAGTAATCTGGTTCGGAAGCCTACGTCCTGTGCTGAGGAAAAGGGCGACTGCTCGTGCCATGGCCCTTCGGGAGCAGGCCTTCATGCTCCTGCGCCGGGCGGCATTGGAAGGGCAGCCACTTGGAAACAGTCCAAGGGAGAATTCAACAAAGTTATAGGTCACATTTGGGGGGGTACTATTTAGATCCTTCTGAGAAGTGTAGCTATTGGATCCCAATCTTGACACACTTGACAAATCAAAATGGTTGAATTGACCGGGCAACCAACAGTACTAGTCCGAATATTCCATTCCTACATCCCGACCCAACCACGTGTAAGCAACGAGGCGGAAGAGTCCCAGATTTTGAGAAGCGCGATTCTTACTGGTTGTAAGTAGGCAATAATGGAATATGATCCCTATAGAATCCCCTTTATATACTATAATCCCTTATTCCCTACAAAGGCCCAGAAAGGCCTGTTGGGTTTATGGAAAGTTGTTAAGCCCCTCCCCCTAATATTAAACCCTCCCACCCCTCCCCCCTTCCAGGCAATCTTTGGTAAGCATGGGAGCGGTCTAGCCTAGAAGTAAATGCTCGCATCATCTAGCTCTCAAGCCCCATGGCAGTAGGGCCCTTCCCCCTAGTATTAAATTCTCCCAATATATTATAATATACCACAATGGGGAGTATTTAATATTAGGTCAATGTTAGCGGGGGGGGAGTATTTCCTACCCAGGCTGGTCTGCATGCATACCAGCCTCCGGCTCCTCCGCGAAGAATTGGAAGTTCAAAAAGGAGCCCCGGATGCACGGGAATATATGTTATATAGAGATTATATAGGATCATATAGGGTTATATAGGGTTTATATAGGGATAAGGCTTAGGGTTATATAGGGTTTATATAGGGATAAGGCTTAGGGTTATACAGGGTTATATAGTGGGTGGTTGTCAAAAATTATGGTCCCTTTTTGGGTACCCTAAATATTAGGTGCCGTATTATAATAGGGATCCAAAAAGGGACCTTAATTTTGACAACCACCCATATAGCGGTTCTATTCCCTACTAATCACCCGTAAGAGGTCTGCTTGTTGAGGTCTGGTTGATCCGTGCTAAGGTAAGAGGTGTGAGTTGCCCCTAAAGAACCCTTCCAGGATCCTAGGATGTCAAGGACAACCCTAAACCCCACACCCTACACCCCACACCCTAAACCCCAAACCCTAAACCAACACCACTGGATTCAGGGATTCTTTTAGTCGTTGGCATGGGCCAGGTCAAGCTGTAGATGTATTCCGGGTTGGAGGCGTTGCGGCGTTGTTTGCTGCAGGTTCTGGGTAGGCATAGTACGAGCGGATAAGCCCTATAGAATCCCTATCTAATATATTCCCTCATTCCCTACTAACCTCCAGTATGGATTGTTGAGTGTATGGAAACTTGCTAGCATGTGGTGCCTTGGCTGCATGTTAGCAGTTGACCTTATACAGAGAGTGAGCGTGAACCATACCAAGCAGGGACTTTGGGTTTCCTTGGGAAGAATGACCCCATCTTCAATTTGTTCTCCTGTTGCCAGTATGCGGTGTCCCAAACTAAATTTGCCAAGGAGCGACGCGGCTGCTTCAACAGGCGGCTGCATCAACGAGGAGCGTACTCCTTCAGATTGATGTCATCGGCCATTTACATAATCGACCCAGTGAATAGAAATTGCCACCACGCTGCCTGAAAGAACACCAGGCGTGACAACTTCAAACATAGCCCAGCAGCATAAGAAGGCCAACAGAAGATCCAGCGATTTAGGATTTAGGGTTGCGAGTGCCAAAACTTACGAGGAAAGAACAGGAAGGCACAGGAGCCAATCTAAAGACGTAGCAAACCCTGAGCAGCCTCAACCACCAGTTCAATTAGAAGTAGTAGTTTCCCAAATTAGGGGGACCCCAATATAGACCCAAATTATTCCAATCCCTTCTTATGGGGACCCCAAATGGTAGCCCTAATTTTAGGAAACCCTCAAGTAGGCTTTTTGTGGGCAGATCCAAGGCAATCCGCCCATATTTCCAGGGACGCAGCGTGAATGACCAGCGCAGGGAAAGATCTGCGTAGTTTCCATTTTCTTTTCCATTATCCCAATATTACTCCAATCTACTATAGTAGTTTCCATGTTCTTTCATTATCCCAATATTACCCCCAATATACTATAGTAGTTGCAAACCCACCTGCGCGCCATTTTTTCAAAATCTTGTACGAGAGCAAGATATTCTTGAACATGGCTCCCGTTACTGGTGCTTAAGGGAGAGTGGGGTAGTGGATCCTCATAATTATCCCTATATAATCCACTATGATAATCCCCACGCCCACTCGCCCTGAAGCACCAGTAGGTCCCTGCAAGGATGCATGATCGCCGCTGCACTTGCAGGGTGGTACTTCTCAGCTGGCGCATGGCCCATGTCCGGACGAGGCGCCGGATCAGCCAGCAAGGCTGATTCACCTGCAGCTTTATAAATGTCAACAAACTAGATTTGGTTAAACCTTAGAATCCTAAATCGTAGTTTCCATTTTCTTTTCCATTATTCCAATATTACTCCAATCTACTATA